TAATTAAATTATCTATTAATGCTTTATTTCTAACTAAAATATATTACTTATAATTATGCATAGTGAATGTATAATATATATTACATTTATAATATGAAAAAGTAATCGATAACAAAAAACAATATAAAATGATTCAATTATCTATTTTTTAAAGTTTATAGTAGCAACGAGTTTATCGAAAGAGAGATTACAGTGAGATAGAAACCCTGTATATATAATTAGGATTTTAATACTTTGATTTTAAATTAGCGTAAAATTATAATATAGTGATGATTTGATGATGTTGATATACAACATTGTTTGATATTAATCTGTATTTTGTTTGTTCAGTTATAAACGTATCGATGTAATGTGCACATTGCTGAACATGTGCGTGCCATTTGAGGTACGATATCTCGGTACGTGTATCGAGGATATCGGCAAACGGGATTACAATGACCTACGTGATGTGGAACACCATGCAAACAGCGTCTCGGAGCTGGCCGAGTTGACTTCCAGCGTGACAGATAAACGCACGCGAAGAAAACTAGCTCTTTACATGGCACTGTTGCACTCGTGCAATTACGCCTGTGCGGTGATCTTGTACAAAAATCTGTCGAATTTTGATCATCAGGAGATCACCAATCTGTTAAACGGGACCACTTTCAGCGTGGACGATCAACCCCTGGAAGAATTGTTACTGCTGTATACGATGGCACTGAATCATCCAGCGTTCACATACGAACAGAAAAGCGTATTCGGCAACATATTCATTAAACTCCAGGAAGAAGAAGCTCGTCTGAATCTTTCAAAGATAAACTCTTCTTTCAAACCGACCCAAGTAATACACAATATTTTATTTTTTCAAAAGACAAAAAGTTAATATTTTCATAAAATTAACATTTATTTTAAATTTATTGAATTGTCTTGTGTTTACTAAATTATTTTTTCCTTTTCAAAATTTTTAAAGAATAATTATTGAAATTTTAAAGAATATTACGATATATTTACTTTGATTTATCGACTGTAACAGAAAAAAAACTTTTTTGATTGGGTATAAAAATATATGTATATAAGTATGCTATATATATTACTTTAGATTAATTTATAATAAATTTAATAATTTTTAGTAACATGCTTCTATAACATTGCAACTGTGATATATTAATTTGTATAGTAATGTAGTAATCCATTTAGTTATTTTAAAAGTTATTTTAAAAATTGTTTGATTGTATAATGTACATATAGTTTAAATTTATGCAGGGCTGTACACCATGCATGAGTACAAACGAAAGATTAATGGAGCCTGAGATACCGGGTAGCTGCTTAATGCCACCACCGCCAATGCAATCTTATCATGGTACGCTGTATTGCATAATTCTTAAATATCTATCGAAAAATAAAACTGTTTTGACAATTACAATTATGACATAATGTGACAAAAAGTATTGCATAATGGAACTATTTAGCAGTATTAACATTCCACTTTTCCAGAATACAAAAGTATAATTTAATGTTTACTTTTGTATCTTTTAACTTACTTTCAGTCAAATACAGTGCGCTTAATAGAATTAGAGAATGATAATTATGCTAGCAATAACATGAATTTGTTTATGCGTTATAAATACTGCAAAACTATTCATATTTTATTTAAAAATTTTTTTGTCTCAGATTGAATAAATCGTGTAGAATATCTTCTGTTAGAAAATCTATTTATACATATATATTTTAAAATAATGAATAATTTAAAATTTTTTATAGAAGTCATTTAATGATTTTTATATTCGCTATGTATTCCTTATGCTATAAAATTTATGTATATAATTTATTATATATAAGAATCTTTACATTTTATTTGTGAAACAAAATTACTTTACATATAAACGAAGAAGATCTTATTTAATTAAAACGGATCTTTGTGTCTAATAACATTTTGATTTTATAATATCCATTTTAAAATGATTTTAAATACAATAATATTAACCACGTTTTTACGTTTGAATTATATATTTATGTGCATTTTCTGAATTTAAAATTTCTTCAATATATTGATGTATTGTGTTTAGGAGAAATGGGGATGAGGAATAATGCTATAGTCACAGGAGTACCACCTGGTCTCACGATACCTCCACCAGGACTTTGTTTGCCTGGTCCAGAGCAAATGCCTATGGGATCTGGCGGTACAACGCAGTACGTTCAACTCGGTTTTCCATCCATGAATCATCTGCCTCCTTGGCCAAGTCAGGTTATGATGGGAAATCAGCTGATGTATCACAGCGACGTGTTAGCTTATCCCGCTTCCCCCTTAGTCAGCCGCCAATCCTCGCCATCTCAATCACGATCTCCTAGTCGCAGTAATTCGCCAATGGGCCGTAACAGGACTGTTAACTCGCGCGCCTCATCCTCGCAATCTACCCAATCCACATCAACCAGTCTCACATCGTCGAGCGTCTCAAACAACCAGACAAGCAGCTCCGTTTCGAACACTACTAGTAATAGCAACAACTCTCTGCCGCCTTTACCAGCGCCCGGTGCAAACAGAAGTCTTCCTAGTCAATCGCCATTACTCCCATCATCGCGATCCGTTTCTTTATCGAACTCGTCGGGTTTTTCTCGGCATAATATCGATAATACCCCATCGTCTACTCTGATTTCGGCAACTCAATCGAAACAACCTCCACCACCACCACGACTTAGGTCATCTAATTCTGGCGATTCCCTTCGAGAGACTTTGAGTAAAGAAATGCCGAATTTTAAGGGTAATCTGCAGAACTTCTCTCGCGATGAGGTAAGCAAAATCATCTTTGTACAGTAATCGAGTAGACAATATAATTTGCATATATGTATGCGAAACTGAATTATTCATATGTGCGAATTATAGATCAGAAGAATGAGTGATGAAGATTTAAGGGACATCGGCTTGACACCGAACGCAGTGGGACAATTGCGGAGTATAGTTAAAAGTCAAACCAGCAATGGCTTAAATCAAATTTCAACGGATAAGAAGCTGGATAGCGTAAACAGTACCTCACATTCACTCGCCGAATCGATGGAGAATGAAGTAAGGCTTAAATATAATGTTGCACATAAAATATGAAGACTTCAAAAATTCTTTATTTAATTCGAGTCAATTTTTTCTTAGCAAAGAATCGAGAGACATCTTGTGATAATTTTTAAAATAAAAACTGATTGAAAGTAGTGTTATATAAATTAAACTTTAATATAATTTGAAAACTTTACGGTTTTTTTACTTTAAATTAGTTAGTTTAAGAAATGAATAACGTGTTAATGAATATATTAATAATAAATATTAGCTTTATAAATAAGAAAATATTTTGATTGATATCTTATATAAAAACATAATATATAATATATAAGATATTGTAAGTAAAACAAGCTTCATATTTTTTAATTAAAAATATTAGAATAAAGTTATAAACTTCCACTCTCAGAATTTAATAATATAATCTGTAAATTGATGTTGTATTTAACGTTTTTTTTTTAAATTTATATTGTATTTGTTCTATAGGCATCTGGCATAGAGATTTTGGGGGATTCGAGCAATAGTACAAGCGGGAAATCAATGCCACTACAAGAACACCATCCAGCGGTGCATCATTATCACAATCATATGACTACTCCAAATGTACGGCGCTATCCTGGTATGCCATCGATAGATCCGGCGCAAATACAAATGTATCCTGCACCACCAATGTATACAACTCAGAATTCACCATGTTATGCTTGTCTCACTGTACCAGTAGCTGGAATGCAAAATCGATATTCGAGGTATATATGAATGAATTTTGTCAGTGCTTTAAATAATATTTTATTTAATTAAATTGTCTTATGTTAGAAACATTAAAAATCAAAAAGTTAAGAAGAAATCTTAAAACGAAAGAAGTAATGTTTTTTTTTGTGATATAAGCGAAAGCTAATAGAAATGTTTTTTTTTTTAAATTTGTATATTTACAGAATTTTAATAGATTTAACAAATAGGCTTGGGATTGGAACATAATACTTCACATTTAATATTTAACATTAAAGAATTATGTAACCAGTTGTCTTAATATGTATCATATATTTTCAGGTGTAATGCTCAGCATGTGTATTGCCTTGGACAACTTCAAGCATTGCGACTCGACTCCGAGAGCAGCCGGCACTGTTCCCAAAGCAGCAGTTCTGATAGTACCGGTAGTAGATCGCCCCCCGAGACGCCACCGGCTGCGCCGTGGGTCAGTAGCAACAGTGGCGGTGACAACAACGTTGCACCGCCTGCTACTGACCATATGACTTCCGCGCCGGTGCATTCCACGGCGACGGCTCCGCCACATGTCGTGTCAGCACCCCAGCAGTCGTCAATGCAATCGTCGGTGCCACCGGAGAGCAGGCAACTTACCAGAAAAAATTCGCAGACACGCACGATGCGACAGAAGAGCCAGGGAATACTGAACGGGGCCGGCAATGGTAACAGTGGACCGCCGAGTCTGTCACACTGTGTCACCTTCCCGGCGCCACCGACACATTCACAACTCACGTATCTGCCACACGGTCACTTCCCAACTACATTACGTCCCAGTAGCGGTATTTACTCCAATTTTTTGCATGGGCCATCCGCACGACCAGCTTATCAACCAGCGTATCAACCGAACGGCGAGATTATGTATCCATTCACGGGACATCCCGCATCTGGTAGCACTCCACCGCCGCCACCACCACCGAACGCAGCTGCCGCGGCACCAGTACAAGCGTCGTACATGCCACCTACGCCGGTGGTAACGTATGCAGCGGCGGTAATACCACAGACAAAGATCTCTTGTTATAACTGTGGCAGTAATAGTCATCTCGCAATAGATTGCAAGGATCAGACGATGGAAGACATTACGAAGAAAGGTACGTCCTCTTAATACAACGTTGCGTTACATGAAGAAAGAACGTTTTTGATTCACTCGATGCGTAATCAAAATAAAACTGGTTCTTAAACGAATTTAATCTAATCTTGATAAAACCTTTATTTAAGTGAATATTTAGATAATTGAAAAATAAAAAATTGAAAAGGAAGATAATGTTACATAAAATTATTCATATAAAGCCATATTTTAAAGAAAAAAATATGATCGATTTGAATTATTTTATGCAAGTTAGGATAAATTTAATATGCCTATAGATGCACTATTCTTAGTATGTTTATATTATTTGTTTTAGCTTTTTGTAGCATAATGTTTCATAACTGCTGCATATACAAACGTGTAACCAGCACTTGAATACTGAGTGGTTTCACCTGTAATCACACATATTATTCACGTATTGTCATCACAAAGAACACGAAATCCTTTTACTTTCAGCCCAATACCGACTGGATTACACGATAATGAAGCAACCTGGGGAGTGTCCGAGTTCCGACAAGTGATCTCCTGCCATGGATCACTCTGCTATCACTCGTCACAATTATCACCGCCACTATAATCGCAACTTTTGCCATCATCGTCATCACCAATATCACCATCGCTATCATCTTCATCATCACCGTTACCATCACTGTCACCATCACCAGCACATCTGTCATTGTAACCATCAGTACGCTAATGCGAATCGATTTAAGGACAAGATGTTGCGAGATGACAACCGATATTGTTCCTTCTTTCATTTTTCGGTAATTTTTCTAAATACCTTATTCTATAATTGGAACGATGGTAATGACGATATTAATGTGAATACTGATGCTGACGATGACGGAGACGATAACGTCGACGCCAAGTATGACAATGACAGCGACAAAATTTTTCTAACTGAAGACATTTCGCGGTTTATGATATGGGGTACACCTTTTGCAAGTTCTTATGTATGATAGTGATTGAAAAGTGATCTAACTAAATGTAATATATAATGTAGTAGTATTGTACAAAGAAAGAGCAAAAGCGAAGCGAGAAATAATTGAAAGATCGCGTTGTATGAAACACAATTTCTTGTCTGTGTTTCTTTTACTATAGGATACGTTTTAAGAGATTTTTGGGTTTAAATAGTGACTTACGTCCTTCCAGCGACACTTATTGGCTACTTATCGCTGTGACTCCCATCTCGGCAGTGCTCTTATTTTTCCTCCTATACCCTAAATTCTCTTAACGAGTAGCTATAAGAAAAACGCAAATGAAAAGGATAAAAGATATATTGTGCCCCAAACAGGAAAGGAAGCGAAAATTATACGAGATTCGAATATATTTAGCAAACGATACTTTAACTTCTAATCTACCATGTCTATACGCTACTACTATTACTATTAAACTATAATTATTACTTCTACTATCGTTATTGCGTCACGACGTGTTTTTATGTATATATATTTTTCTCGATTCTTACGTGCGCAATGAACCGATAATGACATGTGACAAAGAAAAAAGCGTGTAATATATATACGAAATGGTATACAGTACGCATGTTGTGCGATGTGTGCGTGTGCATGTGTTTATGTATGTGTGTACGCGCAAAAAAAAGATAGAATGTAAGAGGCAGAAACAAAAAAAGATAGAAAAAAAAGAGGAAAAAGTGAGAGAGGAAAATGAAAAAAATAATGAAGGAACAACATACCAAAAGTGTTCGATCATCTAGCTGCCGTTGCGCTCCTATGTGTGTTTGTTCGCTTACATATGCGTGCGTGCCTACGTATGTAGTGCGCGCGTGCATGTATGCGTGCGTGCGTGCGTGCGTGCGTGCGTGCGTGCGTGCGTGCGTGCGTGCGTGCGTGCGTGCATGCGTGTGTGTGTGTGTGTGTGTGTGTGTGTGTGTGTGTGTGTGTGTGTGTGTACGTGCGCGCGTGTGTGTGTTTATAGTAAAATCATGAAATATATGTTATATGCATCCTATATATAATATATATTTCGTAATTATACATATGTTTTTGCTGCTCACAACTTGTTTCTTATCTTATACTTGTAGTTAGATGGCGATCTTCATATTATTTATACACGAGTAGTCATGCGATTGCACGTGCATTTGAAACGATTTTATACGACTTTTATCGATTGCCCATGTATTTGAGCGTAATCAACGTTAAGCTTTTTTACGCGTTTGGTTGCAACAATTAATGTGTTAAGCGTGGTTAACTAAATCTTCTGTATTGTCTGCATTGTGAAACTATTATTTAAAATAGAAGAATTGCGCTGTCTCTAAAAATTGCAAATTTTTAAGGAGCGTATTTTCATTGACGTAGATTTGAGAATATTTTTAAATTGACTCAGTAAAATATATAAGTATGATGTATTTTACTTAAAAGTTTTGTCAATTTTTCCATCTTTTTGTTTAGGATATCACCCATATCATTTTTTTTAGCTTTAAGCTATCCAACATAATACATGTTTACATATTTTACACAAGTTTTTAAATACATTTTTTAAATTTATATAGTTAATTTATTATGCAAAGTAAGTCTTGTTTAATATGTCGAAAAACGAAATGGATTAGTTAACCAAAGCTGCAACACTGTTGATGCAATGGACTCTTAGGGAGCAACGCAGGGTAAAGCTGAATATGAGGCAGCCCGCTAGCAAAATTGCTAGTGCATTTAAAACATTCGGATTTTCATCAGCGAATGCGAAACAGCTCGAACCCTTTGTACATGGACGAACTTTTATGGTTGAATCTTAAAGACGAAGACTTTCCTCTTCACAGAATCATATATTTTCTTGTACGAACGGTCGCAATACGCAAAAGTGATTTTTGATTAAAAAAAGAAAACAAAAATGAAAGACGATAGATATAGCAATGAACAAAATAGTTGGAAAATATATTAACTAGATAAAGAGAAATCAATAAAAATGGAGGAAATTGTGCTGTTTGAGCTAAGAAAGTTACGGAAACGACTAAAATGCTATTATTATTATGTAGCGTTGATAAGCCAAATCGGACATTTTCCGAAATATGTAAAATGCCTTCAGACTTTATTTAATTTTTTTCAAAGTTGTCAAACTCGTTATTATGGCAAAATTATTAAATGAAATTAAATTATACGGATTATCAATAGAAAGTATCAAGTTAAATAAATTTTCGTTTAATAAAATAATGTATTTGTTCAATAACTAGAAGTTGCCAACAAAAATTGTCTCTCCTAATCGTGTAAACAATGTAATAGATATAATATTGTTGTTTCACATTTGCATCACTGTGATTTCTGTATAACAGGCAAATCGAGAAACAATTAATGAAATAAATTTAATATTAAATGTCCGGTGAGGCTTTACGATTTAAAAGTAAGCATATTTTTTTCGATTGATTGATTTGTGACACATTATCCTTCTCATTATATTATAATTGAATTTTATCAAATATATACCGCTTAATTTTGCTACAATAACGGCATAATTCAAAAATTATTTTTTTAGTTTGCAAAAAAAAACAAATATAAAAAAGAAAAAATTATACCTTAAAAGAACATAATTTTATTCCTCTATAATCAATAATTATATCAAAATTGTATTTTAAAATATTAGAAAATATTAATTATTTGAAACATTCAGACTTTTTCTGAAAAATTTTGTTTTTTTAATTAGTCGTTGTAGCAAGTAAGCGATATTAGGAATATAATTAAGAGAAATGGAAACTGCTTGAAAATCAAAGCATTATAAAGAAAAAATTTTTGACGAATTTGGCCTGTAAAGAATGTAAAAAAAAAACAAAATTTTGACACATAAACTTTTTTAACAAGGCTTATTGTTGTCAAGAAATCTAATATAAAAAATGAATAATATATAGTTTTACATGAAATATTTGTTAAAACCAAATTAACTTTTTGTTAACATTCTTCATTCATTATAAATCTGAAAGATAGTATATGGCGAATTCGATTGCACTAATGTGCATTGATGCATATTAAAGCCGTTGTGATTTAATTTTGAGTATAAAAATGAAATGCAAGTATTTCGAATTATGAAATACATATTTTACCTAATAGTACAATAAAATGTATTGAGTATTTCACGATTTAATCGATTTTTATGTTTATTTATAAACATATCTTTACGTTATTTTGTATACGACGTTTTTAATGTGCACCAGTGCGCACTGTGCGTCCAATTGAATTTGCTATTAGATTCTATCAGTTATCCGTTATATACTTTACACTAATCATTTCCTACAGTTCTTGGATGCAGCATTTTTTTCGCATTTGGGTAAATTTTTGCGAGGAAAGATCAATGGCCGAAATATTGTTCCTGGAAAAATATTAGCCCTAGCTTGTTTGTAAAATCAGCCTCAAATATTAAAAGGGTTGATGATTGGGCATTAGATATTGCAGTTCCTGTTACTGTTAAAAATTACAAGAATATTAGAAAGACGATATGTGGTGTATGTATATACAATTGCTAGAAAAGTTGATAGAAAGGGCTTGATCTTCGCGGTTCCTTATTCTTTTTCAGACAATTACAAATTCAAAATAAAATCAATAATATATTTCAACATTGATTTGAATAATTTTCATCGTGATTTCATTTTTTATATCCTTTTAAGGTCATATTTTGATTTTTCGAGTCGTTTCGGCTTAGAAATTTTTCTAAGAGCTATGAAATCTAAGAGCACAATGGCTGGAAAATGATAGAAAAGAGTACAAGACTCTATCAAATAATATCAAGGTTACTAGTTAAAAATTTGATAGGGGTCAAAATAATCGCTTTGACTTCTCGAGTGTTAAGACAAGTTGATTACGTCCGTTGTTAAATATATATCAACAAAATGTGTCGAACGAAATTTGTATAGCGACTGTGAATAATACATATTACTGTTCATAAGTTGTGAATATGGATGAATTAAAAAAAACTTTATAGAAATGATCAATCAAAAAGGAAATTCACGAGATACTCTAGATTAGATTACGCATTTGTCACAAAAATGTAAAGGGAGTACAAGATGTATAGTAAAAATAATAAAATTATAAATAAAAGAAAAAGATCTAGAATTTTAAGAGCGTACTCTTCTAAAGAAATAAGAAAGCCTTACTTTTAAGTGCGTACAGCTTATTGTTAGCATGTATTTAATCTTCGCGAATACTTAAATGTAATTATATTCCTGTAAACGTAATTATATTATTGGAAATATTTAAATGTACTTTATATATCGACTAATAATTTTTTTTCTTAGTAAATTCCTTTTTTTTATCATTTCTCTTATATAAAACTGATTATTTTGATACTTAAAAATTTTAATTATACAAAAAATGAAGTGTTATGCATAAATCGAGCTCAAAAAAGTTTATAAACAAAACCAGAAACTTTAATCCAAAACCAATCACATTTAATAATAAAAGTAAGTACCTAATGAATGTATATGTATAACATAAAATAAATAAATATGACAATTTTGATAGTATAACGACTAGTCGGTTTAATATCAAATTATTTATTAGTTATAAATATTAAGGTTTATTGCTGGTTTAGTACATACGATTATCAATTGATTATTAAAATAATTTTACGTATAAATTCGCATTTTGATTTTAAAGCACGTAAAATTAAATGATATAATTAAAAAATTAATATCAAGTCGAAGGTCTGCCCGATGAAATTGTCATATTTATTTATGCTGTATTTACGTTATTTATATTTTTTTTAGATTGATCCGCATCCATTGAAAATAATGTAATAGTTTTCGTTTATTCTATTAATATCTATACATATGTATATATATATATATATTAGGTGTGGGAAAAAGTTCATGGCGTTTTTTCCGTTAGATGGCATTAAAAAAACGTCGCGAACTTTTTCCCATATCTAATATATATATGTGTATAATTGTATCGCGAAACATATCATTAGATTTTTGCTGGCCTATTGATAAAATGCCTAGTCAGAAAATAGAAAGATATATGCGCTTTAACTCTAAGGTGCGGAAATGCGAGATGCTTAGCAGCATATTTAGTAATATTAAGTTAATATTAATATTAATTTAATCATATCAGTTGACATTTCAGCTTTAGGAAAGAAATCACGTAAGAATAAGCTATATAATAGCTTGTGTTCGGTATGGCATTATCATTAATTTCAGAACATTATAACAAAGCGTGACTTATAAGCAATGCTTATAAGTTTGACGCCTTAAAAGCTCATTGTCAAAAGATACTTTACACTGATTACAGGTAGATGAATTATAAATTTTTAATTAAATTAGAAAACGCGTTGAATATTTTGACGTCACAATTTTTTTAAATTTAAGTATAACGACTTTTATACGTAATGCGTGCGTGTGAGTCTATTCAGTTATAAAACTTTATAAAAATGACATTCAAAATTTGCTCTTGATAAATTTGATAACTTAAATCTAATTGTTACCTAAATCTAATTGTTACCAAGCAGTTATAATTTCAACGATAATTAATCAATTTTTTTTCAATTTAAAAAACTCATTGTACATTACTTATATTTTTGAAGAAATACAAGTAGTATTTGAAAATTTATTAGAGCCAATAATTTGTTATAAAATATTCGTGAAGAATCTTGTAAATCGTTAATTTATTTTCTAATTGATCTAATTGCGATACATTAATTAACAGTTGTTACTCGATAATAATTGTCATAATTGGCAGCTATGTTATTATTAATTGATAACTTTGAAATAGAAAAATAAATATTAGAATATTCTAAAAGTTACATAAAAGGATTAACATCAATAAAAGTACAATATTAGTAGACAAATGGCATTATTTAAAATTGCAATTTATTTTATTATTTACATTGTATGTTATAATATTTATTGTATTAATTATATTAAT